CCTGCAGGAATAATCAGAGGTAGAGATTCAGACACAGATGCTAAAACTCAAAAGCTCCTCACCTTAATGGCGGGTTCCATCCCAAATCCAGCACCCTCAGACTGTACGTAAGCCGTAAAGAAGGAGGCCGAGGACTAGTGAGTGTGAGAGCCACTGTCCAGGACGAAACATCCAAACTCCATAACTACATCATGGAGAAGGCCAAAACGGATGACGTACTCAGTGAATGTCTCAGGCAGTGGCGAGATGAGGAGGTGCTGGAGGAGAGCCCATCATGGGAGGACAAGCCCCTACACGGCATGTACCACCGGAGCACAGCAGAAGTGGCTGATCTCAAGAAGTCCTACCAATGGCTAGAAAGGGCTGGCCTACAGGACAGCACAGAGGCACTCATCATGGCTGCACAGGAGCAGGCCATGAGCACCAGAGCGATAGAGGCCCAGATATACCACACCACACAAGACCCAAGGTGTCGGTTGTGCAAAGAGGCACCTGAGACGATCCAACACATAACTGCAGGGTGCAAGATGCTGGCAGGCAAGGCCTACATGGAACGCCATAACCAAGTGGCTGGCATAGTGTACAGAAACATCTGTGCAGAGTATGGGCTGGAAACCCCAAGGTCTAAGTGGGAAACTCCTCCAAAGGTGGTGGAGAATGAGCGTGCAAAGATCCTGTGGGACTTCCAGATACAGACCGACCGAATGGTAATGAACCAATCTGACATCGTGGTGGTGGACAAAGGGCAGAAGAAAGCCGTGATGGTGGACGTGGCAATTCCAAGCATCAGGAAAAAAGCTCACAAAAAGCTTGAATACCAACGGATCAGAGAGGAGCTGGAGAGGACCTGGAGGGTAAAGGTGACAGTAGTGCCCGTGGTGATGGCACCTTTTTTTAAACATTTTATGTCAGCAGCTTTTATATATATAAAAGTAGCTATATAAAAGCTGCTGACATAAAATGTTAAAAAAGGAATTTTGATTTAATATTTAAGTTTGGTATTTGGATCTTGCAGCTAAATGTTTGCACACAGACCTAATGTCGCTTTAGAACATTGCATATGTAAACTTCCTTGTATGATTCTATTTAACCTTGAGTTTGTAAATGGATCATTACTGACTGTGCTCTGTCCGAGGTGCTGTGTTATTAATACGAAATGTCATGAGTTGCTTGATGAATGCATCTGTCACACACACACACACACACACAGCGAGAGTCGTTTCGGACACGAACAATGTCCCAGCAACAGCCTTGTCCTTCAGCACCACCGCACCTTCTATCAGACAGTTTGGATGGAGAGCTGTTGTTTTCAGCACAGGACATTCTCATTGTCTTCGCATTGACCCGAGGCCGTTATAAATTTGTGTTTTCCGATTCTCCAAAAAAGCTTTGTATTGCTGATTAGAAATGCTTCCAAAGCTCTGCATGGCTCACACGAAGGACAGACAAACCCATAACACAGACGAAATTATTATCCAAACGGAATTGGTTTCCTCCATGACAGCTCTGGTGTGAAAAGAAACTTAATTTCAATCTCCAGTTTCACCAAAAGGATCAAAGACAATTATGGATCCATCTGATGCTCAGATTAGGAATAAAAAAGTTCTATCTTGAAAATCCAGTACCCATTGGATTTAGCTGATAAAGGTATAATGGGGATTCAAAGGATCCTTTAGGGACCACATTAACAGAATTGTGATGAGCTTCTGAGTTCAGGACCTGGCTTCCCACAAACAAACAAGTATTTCCAACATTTTTATAATTATAATGACTAATTATTATCATTAAAGTTCTATATAAAACTGTTGCATTATTATTATTACTACAATAACTATTACAATAATAATGATAAAAAAAATTTAAAACATATATGCTCTTACATCATTTTATTTTTTTCATTTCTGTTTTTGATGTCCGTGGTCCTTTATCTAGACTTCTTTTACTGCACAGATAACATTGATAAAAATGTGAAGTCAAAAATACATGAAAGTGAAAAATAGTGAAAGAGTCTTGAGAGCTCCTTGCTCAGGTTTGTGGTTCCAAAGTTAAGTTCTCCAGCTTTAAGCATGAAGCTCTCTGTGATGTCACAAAGCTCCTGTTATCTGCTCAGTGTCACTAATGCTGCTGAACACCTGCTGTGTTGACCTGCAACAATCTGCAGACCTCCACACCACCCCACCCCCCACCCCCCTGTCCATGAGGTCTGCAGAGAGAGCAGGCTCGAACCCCAACTCCAAAATCTAAGTTTGAAAAGATTAAATGAATATCTGTAAACATTGCCATACAGTATTTATTGACAGTGAAGTATTATTACACGGGCACTTACATGTAAACAGAAGGCCACAAAAAGACATTTGCAATAGAAATGACACAAAGATTAGATTCATACATGGGGTGTGTGTTATTATTATTATTTTTATACAACAACCTTGTGTGAAAAACGCTTTGATTGATTAACATTTAAGCATTGGCCTTCAAGGCTTTCTAACAAATTCAGTTGGTATTTGCAAACCACTAGCTTGAAGACAACATTTCCTGCTTCTTTCCCCTGTCAATTTGACATATACTCTAATAAATGTACTTGTATATATATACATATACATACATATATATGGTGAATGCAGGGTGAATGAATGTTTTTTTTCTCTGTTCTAAGGGGAATGAGGAAAGGGCTCTTGACTGATATTGACATTAAGCCCATTTGCCTCAAGTTGGAGCCATAACATTAGTGCAGATCTGTTCCTCACACGCGACTCTCTGCAGCCGGTCACATGTGACCAGTGTCTGAGCAGGAGCAGGAGGAGCAGGAGGAGCACACAGAGCTCGTGCCTGAGAGTGCGTGGGTATGATAAAGGTGCTTTATCCTTGAAGGCCTAAAAAGATAGTTATTTTCTCAAATAAAAGATCATATAATTGTTGTCAACCTTCAGCAGAAAGTTTGCACTTTGGTGTTCAGTCTTTCCTAAAGCAAGGCAGGAAAACACACTTTTCACTACTCAAAGCAGATTGAATGGAAAATTACAAAAGCACCCACAACAAATGAAAAGAAGAGTCTGATTGTGTGTACATTTGAATGCGTTATTGATTAAGAAAACTATTGTTTATTGTGATGTGATAAATGAAGGAACAAATCTGCCTTGCATCTCAAGAAAATATTAGCAAAGGATAAGAATTGGATAATGACATCGAAAAGAATTATTTCAATACACATTTTGGTCAATCTAGCCTTGAAAGATCAGTGGACTCATTAAGCTTTGGGAAGTCTCTCCTGACAGCCCTCCACAGGCCTCTTGAACGCACCCCTCCCAAACACCTCCACATTGTTGGCCAACCATGAGATGATGTTCCCCGGGAGGTAGGTGCTGCAGTTGGCCATGGACTGGACCTCGGTGGGCTTGAGGACACGATCCCAGATGTTGACTTGACTCAGCTCCCCCACAAAGGCCTGGCCGGCGTCGAAGCGGCCCCCCACCACATCCTGAAGGGGGACACCAAATACAAGACAACTAATTATCATTTCATATACTGTAGTACAGTTATTGTCTTCAGACTGTGGATGCACTGGATTTACAGTCAATTTTCAACACAGAAAGACCCTTTTTAAATAAAAGATTCAGGTACTGTATTTAGCAATGCATTGTAGGCTGTGAAACTTGAAAAAGAACGCAGTCAAACTACATCAGCTCCACACGGCCATAACGGGTGCCATAACACTTGTATTGAATATTACAAGGAGGGCTGGCAGAGATTATAGACATTTTTTGCATCAATTGTTGAAGGGTGTTGTGGTGCAAAAAGTGGAGCTAACTGTTAACTGGCAGTGTAATGTTCTTTTTTAATGCATTGGGAACTAAAATGCTGGGTTACCTAACACTTGGATTTCTTCAGTCGGTGGACAAGAGCATGTTCTGATTCAAATTTACCATGAGGAATTCCAAGCAACATTGGAAGCAGTTTTCCTGATTTCAGTAAGATTCTTTTCTTGTCGAATCTCTTCCAATAACATTGTTCTGTTTCTCTCATTGAATAAAACTGTTACACTCTTGACTCAAATACTCAAAATGTAAAAGTTCATATTTCTACAAACTTTATGAATGAACTTCAATTAAGTCAAATAACTTCCAATTGGCTGCGTTTATGTGACATTACAACCTTTTTAACATTAATCTCAACATTCAGGGCAGCTGAAGAATCCTGTTAACTATGTTTCAATATTCAGATCCTAGTCTTGGTTCAAAGCTAATTTCTCTGTAATTCCTGGTCCAATCACGAAACAAAAGCTGCTCCACATCTGCTTTGGCAGAACATATCAACGATCAACTCTGGTCTGATAAAGTTCTCATAAAGTTGTCTAGAAGTGGTGATAATATTCAATAAACTAGTGTTGAAAGGATTGTAGAAAGAACTTAAGGACATAAGAATAATGCTTTGTGAATGTAATCACTATCAAATAATCTGAGAAAACAACATTTTCTGTATTTCATTCAAAAATGGGCTTTCCCCATTGACTCCTGTTGAAATATATAAATTTACGTTGAATTTTTTGAAAGCCGTCACACCTGTTGTCTATACTGCTGGTAATATTACTACACAACAATGTTGTTGTGTCGTAACAACTGACCGCAACGGCTGCTTCAACAACGAAGCACCCCCCGTACATCCCACACATGCAACACACCGAGCAGCAGATATTCAGACCTGTTCTTGTCCCAGAATAATGACTCCTCCAGGTTTGATGGGGTGCCAGGCTGCCAGGTTGTCCCCAGTCCCGAGCTTCTCCCCGTCCTGGTAAGCATCCCACTGGCCGTCCCGCGTGGTCCAAGAGACACAGATGTGGTGCCACTTTCCATCCCGTACCTCTATGGGCAACTGGGCAACCTGCAACAAGATGAGATCATCTTTATTTGCGGAAATTCCGGAAATCCAACAATAAAAGGCCAATGAGTCGACTTGAAGTGGAAGTACAACCTGTCAATGCTGCTGTTGCAATGTTTTCAGTCCATTACTGCCTTAGTCACAGGATCGGCTGCCCAGGTCCTTCCCATAGCCAGATCTTATTCTCTGCACTCATTTTTAGTTAAATGTGTTTCCCTTTTCATTGTCATACGATTTAAATTATTTAAATGACGATTCAGGTTTTCCAATAGAGATAGAATAGAATGCCAGGACAGTTCCAGGTTTTGTCCACAGCATTGTCCAGGGAATATTCTGGGTATTCACTGGGAATGGGGCTAACTTTGGTCTGGGTCCAATATTGTTCTGGAGTTTTGTTCCCTGCCTGTGTGTGAATGGGGCTTATGACTGATACAAGAACACTACCACGTACCACTACTGCTTATGTACTTCTTAACATTTCTAAATATATATTCAAGAAACAAAAAAATACACTAATTCAGTTCCAACAATTCATTTCGGTTAAATTTTCATCTAAACACACTGTACTGTATATATACTTGCCTTGTCATTGATCAGCAGCTCTATGGGGTTGTTGCCCCACTCGATCAGCACTATCTCGTTGGCCTGCCCAGGCACACCATAGGAGAAGGGTGTGCCGATGCCCGGACTGGCGTTGGACTTGATCCACATGCACAGAGTGAAGGCGTACATCTCAGGCAGGCTTTTGGTGATGCGTCCGTAAAGGTAGTTGGTGCGCTGGGGTAGGGATAATTTAAACTGCTCTGGGGATTTGAAGTCACCGCCTCCTGCATGGGGAAAAACAGTTTGCATTTGAGAGCGTAATTCTTTTGACATATGCAAATATCCATATACGAGCAAAGCATTTCAAGGATGTTACTTTATGCCTAGGTTTTCAATCAATTAATTAATGAATCCATCATATAAAATAATGTAATACAAAGTGCTTTAACCGATCGGCCCAACGGACCCACCCTGAAGTCACAGACACCTCAGTCACCCATCCATCTACACATGCGCGCGCACACACACACACACACACAATAGAAATGTAAAAACCATAAAAACATGAAGCTGATGAAGCACCGGCTGGGAGCCGTCTGCACCAGGAGCAGAGAGCCACCTGCAGCCACAAGGGATGACGCAGAACCCAGAGGAACAATAAAGAAAAGTCCTCTATCATGTCCATGAGTAACAATAATAAAATAGAGGGTCAAATTAAATAAATGAAGTCTAGGTCTAAGCTAATCTAAAAATGTGTGTATTGAGCCTTCTCTTGAAAACATGAATGTCCGCTGCGGCCCTGAGAGATGTTCACATTTCGTTAGTCTAGTTTTGGTGCAGTGCCTCATCCGGCTCATACATGAATGTGCTACTTCCACATGTGCATCTTCCACTTTCTAAATGAAGTCCCCTCTTGAGACCAGCCTTTCATCTTTCTCTATACCACTCTGATCACACATACCAGAGTATTGCAAAACTTCCTTTCTTAGCATTGCTGCCACTTGTAGTACCTTTCTCCAGCTCGTTGATCCTCTCCACCAGGGAGTTGAGGGTGGTCTCGGTCTTCTCCCTGTATGCGGCTGTGGCGTTAGACAGCATACTCTTCTCCTGCTCCAGACTGCTCACTTTCTTCAGCAGCTGTTTCTCCAGTTCTCCCAAGCGCCGCTGCAACAGGTCCCGCAGCTCGCTCGGGAAGGAGGCGCCCGAAATGTTGGCCCTCATCTGCTGTTGCTATGGAGAACAGAGACAAGGACAGTGTTATTGTTTTTGGATCTGACTCTGGGGGGAGACAATAAAACGCCAAAAGATGCTGTATTGACTAAAACAAGTGTATTTGTTTATTATTAGTAATAGCTTAAAGCCTATACTTATTAGAGTGGGATACTTTGTTTGCGTTGTAGCCATGGGTCTGAGCTTTTGTTTCATTTATTTTAATAACCATTTTCCCATTCAAAAGACAAGGTTTTTTTTATTGTAAATCACCAAGGCAACAGCCCTCCTCATTCTGAAACCCTTGGACATTTTTGTTTCATATGTCCATCCATCCATCCATTTTCTACCCTTTAATCCATTTCTGGGTCAGGGGGGTGGCAATCAGAGATGCCACCCAAGTCTCATAGCACCAGCCCCTCACTGACCCTCTGCAGGTGGTGAGTCCACAGCAGGTGGTGAGTCCACCACCTGCTAGTGGTGGACTCACCACTAGCAGTTTATTACCATTTCATATGTAATAAACAAAATGAATTGAATATGAAAAAAGTCAGATAGATTTACGCTACATGACAAATGGAAAATATCCTTTTAATAAATACATTATGCGTTTGCATTTGTTCATCAGTTGCGCATCCAAGTCATGCTGAGCTTGTTATGGTTAAAACGTGAAGCCCTAATTCCCTTGTTACATACTACGTACACTTTGACCTTACGGTGTGACTCTAATTTCAGAGGTTTTTAGAGCGTTTGTAAAAATAATAAAATAATAATGATAATAATTTTGAATCCCCGACTGTGACCTTTACGCGCAAAGACACAACTTTACGCACTCACCTCCAGGTTTTCCAGTCTGTCTTTAAGTCCTTGCATGGTTTTCCCCAGATTGTCTATTGTGTCATTTGGATCTCTCGGTACATCTCCCATCGTATTCTGCTTTTCTTTGCCCCATGCTCCCCCTTTAGAGCTCTTCCTCTCGTCTGTCGCGGTGCCACACAAGGACAGCTTGGTATTCAGCTCGCTAATCGTACCGACCTGTTTTGTAATTGTCTCTTTTTGCTGAAGTATTGTTTCTCGCAGTTGCATGACAGTGTTTCTGAGCTCTTCTTCTTGACTCCCCGAGCTCAACTCTGGCAATAAAGTCACCGGACAAGTGCTGTCACCGGAGAGAGTCACAGTGCGGCAAATGTAGCGCTTTCCGTCATCTGGTTGTCCAACTGTCAAATATCTACTCCAAAAAACGGACAAACAAAACATCCTACAAAGTAAAAACATCTTCTTTCAGTCCTAAGATGTCAAACCAGAGTGCAGAGATTCTGTGTAAAAGTGTGCCACCAAGACGCGTGTCCAAACAAGCAGCGCATAATTACGCGTAAAAATCCACTGGGCGCCACTCTGCGTAAGCCCTGTTAATGTGACTATTCTGAGTAGAGAGAAAAGAAGACCTCAGGGACAGTAAAGAGGATTACCAAAAAAGGTGTCTGTTCGCCTTCTCTGATTGGCTGTCGCACTAACGTCATATGTCACCTGCATGTTTTCTTCTTTGAATAGAACGCCAATGTTCCCGTTATTGCTCATTTTTGCATTCCCTGCTATATTCTATCTAGGAAACAGCCCAACATAACTCATAAAAAACAACCGGTTCATAGAAAAACACATATCTGCGATTATGGCCTATAAATAAAAACACAATTTAGAATCTGACGAAGATGAGAAGGGAAGACGTGATAAACAATTATCTTGTACACAGCAGTAATGAAAGGTCAATACAGCCTGAGGGTGTTCTTTGAACAAGGCGTCACCAACACCTGCATCATGGACATCAGTCAAAGATCATTCTTGGCCAAAGCCTTAGATATCCAAGGTCTGGTTCTAACCCTATGTGTGTATTTTTGGCCTCTGTCACGTTTTTAGATCAGCTTTTTCAATTAAAAAAGAGAGTACCAGCCCTTACTCAGACAATCTGCTCTGGGATAGCAAAAAAACACGTTTTGTAAAAGACAAAGACAGCTTCTGATTTGTTTACAAAATGTTTCTTTTTCTGTTTGGACAAAGATCTTATGAAACAAAAAGTAAGATGGTCAGTGGCCATATGCTGCAAGTGGAAGCCAGGTCCTGCAGACCTCTGAAGCTTAACAGGGTAGGGCCTGGTTAGTACTGTGATGGGAGACCTCTGGGAACACCATGTGCCACAGTGGGGCAGCTGTGGCTGTAAAGTGCCAGACTACTGTTGTGTCCTTAGGCAGGACACTTCACCCAGATTGCCAGAATGAGTCCAGTGTCTGTGTGAATGGTTGGTGGCCAAAGGGGCGATGGCACATGGTTACCTTGCTTCTGTCAGTGTGCCCCAGGGCAGCTCTGGCTACTATAGTAGTTTATCACTACCGTGTATGGCGTGAATGAATAATGACATGTGAAGCATCTTTGAGTGTCCAAAAAAGCGCTATTTAAAAAGACACAATACTTATACGAGGAGTGTCTTATAGTGTCTTATACTTATAAGCATCGTACATTGGGAAGTAATGGGATTTAGATTTCTGTTTCTAAATGGTACTATAAGGAATCGGTTCTGGAAAAAGCGGAACTGACCCAAAAGTAAGAGGTCATGCCCTGGTTTACCATGATCCATTCTTTTGAGAGTTCAAGTTGGTCCAGCCCTCACTCATTTTGCCATGCTATACAAAAGGAATAGCAGAATAGTACTTTTTCCTCTAATGCACTGCCCATTTTTCTGGGGCACTGTGATGATCTGAAGTCTCAAGGAAAGTGCTCTCCTTTTTTTCCCTCTCGCATATGAGAAGCATAATGCAGGGTTCTTATGATGAGGCCAGAGTGCAGCGCAAAAAAGAAGTCTAATGGATAGATGAGTGGTTGTGTGAAGCTGCTCCAGCGTGTGTCATCTGGGATACAAAAAATAAATAAAACCTGTTCAGAAAAGGAGACACACTAATGAAACGGAGAGGGCAATAAGCATGAGACAAACATCTTTTAGCACGTCATTATTACACGGGAACAAAGCGACCCACAGAATGAGAATGTCACATTGGATGTCAAATTATGTAACGACTTCAATGTGACACCAAGTGAATTAGTGAGTTAATGTGGAGGCTATAAAACGGGTTTGAAAAGGAAAACAATTAAACAGGCTTTTCTTTTAAAGCATAAAGCTGACTATGAGTTAATAAGGAGCTCCGGCCTGAGAACAGTTACTCCCGTGTTTAGTTGCACTTCACTCATCACTGTCCCCTGCCTTCATGACTGTCACTTTACTGTCACTGCTAAACGTCTATAGTGTGTACTAGTGCATTCGTTTATAGCAATTTTAAGAAATGGTGAATTCATTTTTTATCTTTATTCTATTTTTATTTTTTTCATGTGACAATAAAATTAATTCTGATTCTAGAATAAAAGGAACATGTGAAGTTAATAAGCCACTAAATAAATATGATCTTAGATTATATGCGGTTCATTCACTTTTACACTATTACACAGAAGTGGTAGCGAGCTCCTACTCTAGCCTCAACTGTGGTCGACTTACAGAAGGCCATCATCATCATCATCATCAAAGAGTGGGAGTTATATGATTTAAAAACTACTCATCTTCAACATTTTATATGGCCTAACAATAGACTGTATATATTAAGGCCTAACAAATGACTTAACAACAAGATGTAACTTGATGCAAAAAAAAAAGTGATGTGATGGTCAAATACATTTTTGAAAACATGCGAGACTTTTTAGTTGAGTTGGAGCTTGGAAAAAATCGCAGCCAAATAATAAAAAAAATAATAATAGTGTTAATGCATTGGTTTTAAAAAGCACTTTTTGGACTCTCAAAGACGCTTCACATGTCATAAACTACTACTGTAGCCACAGCTGCCCTGGGGCACACTGACAGAAGTGAGGCAACCAGTCTGTGCCATCGGCCCCTCTTACCACCACCAACCATTCACACACACACCAGACTCATTCTAGGCAATGGGGGTGAAGTGTCTTGCCTAAGGACACAACAGCAGTTTGGCACTTTACAGCCGCAGCCGACTGTGGCACCGGGTGTTCCCAGAGGTTAAGTGTCTTGCCAAGGACACAACAACAGCAGACATGGGAGTTGGTGGAGAACGTCTTGTGGTGGGCTCAAACCCACGGCCTTCAGGCTCAAAGGCCAATGCTCTACCAACTGATCTACTGTTGCCTCATAAAAATCTAGTGAATCTATGACAAATACATTAATAACAACCACCAACAATATGTGTAAGAAATGTAATGTTGTTATTATGTTGAAACATAGTGTTATTCCATTAAGATGTTGATATTTATTATGTATTTATCTATTAATGGGTATAGAGAGCATTATTGGCACATTTTGGCCCAACCGCAGGTGGAGCTGTCCTGGTTGAAGATAAAGAACTGTGCAGCCTAGAAAGTAGAAAGTGCAATGTTTTCCTGTTTTTGATCACAGCGAATGATTTTTATGCATACTGTTCCATCAAAAACATATCGAGTTATTCCAAGGGTCCCAAAGTCATTTGGGACATATTTATTCATCTATTTATCTATTTACTTTTATATTGACCCAATAATTAATCTGAGATGTTAGGCATGCAACCCCTGGGTGCTGTTTATTACAATTGCTGGAATATGAATGCATAAAAGCTATTTAGATATAGCAGTTTCCATTAAAAAATTGGGATTTTTATGTTAAAAGGCCAGCAAAATACAGGGTTTTCAATAAAAAATACTTCACATGAGTGAATTTCTGCTTTCTTATATATATTATATATATATATATATATATATATTATATATAAACTAGAGACTACATGTACTCTAGTCTGTGCCTGGAACACTGTCCACACTGCTTGAAACATCAAACCGTTAGGTCTATGGATATTACTTAGAAGAGTTGACAAATACATATAAAATCATAATAATCATTTTAAGAACCAAACTAAGGACACCATGTTCTGTTAAGCTCCTTTCTCTTTGAAGAATTTGTAAATTGAAGACTGAAAATTAACCAAAAGATTCTTACATGTTATTTGCTACTATTTGACAGTGACTTATTTGTAATGATTTCGTATAAATGTATCAGTATAAACGCAACTACACTCGGTTAATTATTACAAAACAACAAGACCATCGAAATTGATGGTCTCTTTACAACCTGTGCATTTGAGGTATTCATCCGCGAAACCAATACTGTATTTTTCCTTCTATCAACAATACATAAACATATGTATACCTAATACATACATTTAACATAATCAGAGAGCATATCTGTGTTAGTAACAAATCTGAGTATTAAGTAAATATGTTGTTATTAAGTCGCTTAAGCTAGTGCGCGGATGAATACGTGCAGTGTGTCGTTCACAGTGCAGCGCGAGGGCGGCGGATACAGAGCGGCAGTTTCCTGTCTGGTGGTAGGTAAGCGTATTTTACTTTTACCATTACTTTGTACATTTAAGGCCTTTTTCGTAGCTTCTTACTCTAAAAAATATACTACGACCGAAAACAACTATTGTTTAATTCGTGAATGAAATGTGTTTGTTGTGAATGAAATAGGTTTACTCGTGTCTCCGGTTCTTTCTTTCTTTGAGCAAGTTAGCATGGTTAGCATCTGGAGCAGAAATGATGAGATTTTAAAATTGAAAGTTTTACATAATTCTAGAACAATGATTCAATACAGCTATTCACATACTAGTGCAATGCGTGCAAATAAAACTCGTGCACAAGCATTGAAAATGTGCATAAATCACAAACTTATGTTTTATCATTTTCGTATGCTAACTGGCGCCGTAAGATGACGTAATATTTACGCGCCTGTTTAGTGTTTTGGCTTTTGGCATATGGTTTTTGGAGCACGGTGATATTTA